TAAACATTACACGGTTGCACTGATGTACTAGTGTTGTGCAACGACATGTTGTGAGATTAGAATTTATAAGCCTTTAAAATGATGTATAATAATCTATTGTCAGACTTGGATTGTCGGGATTTTTCATCGTGTAAATGTAAAAAAAAAACATTTTTTCATACTTTTTTAAGTTTTGACCATCACTTATTTGGTATACACATTGCTCTTAGGCTCCTTAAATCGGACAAAAACCATGGGCCCCACCAACGTAACGGTAATTTCAAAAAACTCAGATTTCAAAAAAATTCAAGGCGGTGCTTAATGTATATATATATATTCCGACGAATTGATAACCTTCTCCTTTTTGTGAAGTCGGTTAAAAATCTACAAAAATATGCAATCTATCTATCTTATATACATTTAAAAAAAGGTGGTGTTCGTATGTCACGGTCGTCAAAACTCGAGAACGGCTGAACCGATTTCAAAAATTTTTTTTTATATTATGCGGTATAATACCAGAACCAATGATATCGCAAAAAATTTAAGAGCTGCCACCTATTTGAAAATTTGTAAACCCAATTATATTGATTAAATTAATCAATTATTACAATATGGGGAAAGAGGTTTAAGAAAGACAACTGCTGCAAATATTTTTGACGAGTTTAAAATATAGTTCTAAATATTTTATTTTTTTTTTTTTTTTAACTCAGTAGAATTGATAAAAGAAATGAAATATTGCAATGTGGGTGTCAAACTAAAGAGTTTTAAACAGGCTTACAGCCGAAATTATGTTTGAGGAGGGTTGCCACCTGTTTGAAAATTTAACCCAATTTAATTTATAAAATAAATGACATATTACAATATAGGTATCAAATTAAAGAGGTTTAAGAAAGGACTGTAGGAAATATTTTTGAAGTGGGCTACCACCTATTTGAAAATTTTAACTCTGTTAAATTAATCAAATAAATTAAATATTGCAATGTGGGTATCAAACTTTAGATTCTTAAAAAGGTTTACAGCCGAAAACACATTTGAGGAGGGTTGCCGCCTGTTTTAAAATTTAATTCAATTAACATAATTGATAATATAAATGTTATTAGGTATCAAATTAAAGAGGTTTAGGAAAGATGGCAGTAAGAAATATTTTTGAGGAGAGTTGCCACCATTTTGAAAAATTTAAATTCGAAAGCTTAGTATGTTGCCATAGGTTGTCGTAGGTTGCACCAATGTATTTTCAATATAGACCGTTAAAATAAATAAACCAACGAAAAAATAGTCCTTTGTCAAATATGTTTGATTTATTATTATTTATGTATGTATATGTACAAATGTAAGGCGGATGCGGACGATGGGTGGTGGCTGAAGTGGTTTATGGTTTAATACGGGGAAAGGCGTGCCCGCGCCAATAGAATTGAGTTAAACCTCAAAGCAGTAAAACTGTTCGGAGGGGAAACTCAACGATAGCTAATTTGGCGGGAAAAGTTTATGACAGTTTCTAATAAATACATCTATAGATGTGTGCGTACATATGTATATTATTACGCACTAAGGTAGACCGTCTTGGATTGTTTGGTATAGTCTAGAGGCCTAAACACAGTTAAATTTATTAAATAAATGAAATATTGCAATGTGGGTGTCAAACTAAAGAGTTTTAAGATGACTTATAATCGAAAACATGTTTGAGATACAATATGGGTACCAAACAAAAGGCATTTGAAAAATCTTTATTTGGAAATATTTGCAGTAGCATTATCACTTATCTAAAAGTAAGGACTGAAAATGTTGAAATTAAATGAAATATTTCATAACTGGTTCAAAACGAAAAGTGTTTGGGAAAGCTTTACTAGGGAATTTCAAATCTTTCCACTTATCCAAATTCCGAACAATTTAAATAAAGATAGCATTTACAACATCTTATCAAACGAAGTGGTCAACGAATATTAAGACGAATTTTATTGCCTGATATTTTTTGTAACTTAGAAACATCGAAAGGAGAACTGATCGAAAGAATGTTTCCTTATTAAGAAAATTAATTATAGGAATCACGATTAGCTCAGTGAACGGGCTATTCTTGCTGCGTAGAATAAGGATGTATATCAACTAAATAATAGTGACGTTGACAATAGTCGTTGCTTGAGCGCTGATCTGCTCTTTTATCAGACTGTCAGCCCACTTGCTCACTTTGGTGAATACCACTAATGTTATTCAATCCAGTATTCAAAGTGAGGAAATAGCTTATACGCCGATGAACACCGTTGTGAAAAAAGACGAAGCAGTTAATTATCCAACGGAATTTTTGAACTCGACTGATCTTTCAGGGATCACTGAAATTGAAAATAGGTGTCCCAATTACCATATTGCGTGTTCCTGTTTCGGCAAACCAGATATCCTTGATATCTATGCAGAGAATGGAAAACAACAATTACAAAATCAAACACATATGAAACGTATATATGATTTGTTTCGTTAGTAATTTATCATCCATATAACAGGAATATGACTACAAATAAAATTCGAAATTGTATTAATGAACCACCAAAGCCTGATATCGGCGATACTGCAAAATGTTCTACATGTATGTATGTCGATTTTTATGACATGGTCGGTGGAGTGTTGCTCAACGCCTAAGTAACCAGTTTTACGCGGTCATACAACCACGCCAAGGTTTGTGATTGGTTGCTGACGCAGACTACAGAACTTACAGGTGCGTTAAATTGTACTTACATATGTACATATGTAAGCAGTATTTCTCGAAGTGCTTTGATAATGTTAAGTACGTAATTATATAAATTTGACAAGGAATGCATTTTAATAAATATCTATTAGGTGTCAGCATGCCATATACCGGTATGTAGTTCATACGTATTTAATGTTGAATTTTTCTTATCATGTACATATGTACGTAATGTAAATGTGTTGCAAATAACGTTTATCGCTGGTGCCTTTAAAGATTACGGCTATCAAGTGGAAAGTCACTTATTTTTGAGTAGTTATGCAAGCAATATTTAAGCGGAACACTAGATAAGTTTTTGAGCAAATTTTAATGATTTTTCTTTTTAAATGTGGGTACATTTGCATGCATATATGTATGTATAAACGTACCCTTACGGTCAAAATTCAAAATTATATTGTTGGGAACTTATGTTTATTTATATATTTTTAGCATATACATTAGGCTGCATCGCTCCACATACAAAAAAAAAAAATCGGTACTATTTTTCCATTGGAATTATAAAATCTATTATATTTTAAGACGTCCACCAAAATATTTCGGAAAAATATTAAGATTTAAGTGAGCTGGACCGATTTGAAAATACCTCCAAAAATTGAGTTTTTTATGAATAAAAATAGTTTCTTAATAATTTTTTTTGAAAAAGTCCCCTCAAATTAAAACACGGTTTAAGCTTAAAATATTTGCATAAAGATATTAAAAAAAAAAGAAATTGAACGGAATCGTATTGATGAGATTTTTGATGATGTTTTTTAACTTTTTTCAAAGATTGGTATAGGAAAAACTTGAATAACTGAACCTAAACTCTTCCGATTTAGACTTAAGAGGTGTCATTGGAAAGGTATTTTCTCACCCTTTTGCATACAACAGGGAGTCGGTAACGTCGATAACTATGTTTAACCGGAGATTAGTGTTAACCAGACATTGAGTAACCGGCCCTTACATCGCAAAAGATCCGCATTGATTTTTGCGAATGCGAATGTTAAAATTAATGCGGAAGCTCCGCGGTTGCGAATGCGAATGCGAATATTCGCGACAACTCTGGTACAAACAAATACCGAAAATACCGAAACGTATACCTTTTTGGGTGTTTTGCTGAAATTCGGCTGATTGAATTTTTCGCTCAATACGCTTTCCTACTGCACTTCACAGATACTTTTTCATGGCTAAAAAAATTAAATAAAATTATGGAAGCGCCTGACGGAATTCGGACCCGGCACCTTCTGGAAGCTAACAAATGGCGGCACGTTCCTCTGCACGTCCAGCCACTGTTTAGCTTGAAGAAATAAAATACAATTATTGCTTCCAAATAACATTATCTTTTTCGAACGTTTCGAACATTTTCCACATACGCAAATGAATGAAAATTTAAGTCGTTTTCTATTCGTTTCCGAATACGGAAAATTGTACTAGACTGCAGTCACTGCACTGCCGGAAAAATTTACCGCTAATTCGGAATTATCTCGGGAATTAACTCCAGTTGATCCGGATTAAGTCCTAGAGTTAATTCCCAAACTTAACTCGGATTAAGGGAATTTTCGATGACAACACTGACCAAAACTCAGAGAGCGTAGAATACAGGGAAAATTCAAAATTAGCATCGGTAATGCAGTCACCATTCTAATTCAAAAAGGAATCCAATTTAAAATGAATAAGAACTTATTTTGGTGACTGCATTACCGACGACAGGATGAATGTCTATTCTAGTTTGCAGAACAACTTTAAAATAAAAAATACAGAAGTTATAATTGAATCAATAAAAAGAAATTAAATGAATATTCTACGGGCCGTGCGATTCGAACCTACGAACTCGCGGCTCGTTAATCCGCATTACTGCCGTCTGTCAAGGCACGATTTTGATCAGAGTAATTGCGGCGTTAATCCGGATCAATGTTGCCGTCTGTCTATGCTTTTACGTACATAAACGAAATTTAAAAGCATATCTTATGTCTTTTAATGATTTTGAAAGCATTTTGTGGAGAATATATCTACAAATTGTTATATTTTAAGCGCTTAAAATAAGTTTTGTATACTATTTCTAGTAAAAGTGTTTATTCATATATAAATTGCACTGCATTTGATTTTTAGTAATTTGATGTGTTGTTTAGTAGGGTTCCATCATCTTAAATGTTTAGGAACCCCTGGTGTACATTGTACCACTTCAGAGCTTATCTAAGCAAGAAAAGTGCGTGTCATTATGACTTTTAAAATGATTTCAAGAATTATCACGTTCCATCATTATCACAACGAGGAAGATATAAAACAGTGTAGCGCCTGGAATAGACGTATTTGTAAGTATGTATATATGTATATACATAGATAAGCATGTATAGACGACATATTCTTCGATATGTATTTATGTACAAACGGTATTGCTCACGCTATAAAAATGGGTAATAGAGAGCGAATACGTTCCACCTTTGGATCGTAAATTCATTCTTCTTCGTGCGCGAAACATCCCAGACTTTTTTCCGGGCACAAATGTGTAAATAGTCAAATTTCCATAACAGCTGTTGTGGAAATGGGAAAATGCCACTAAAGTTTCAGAAAATGTAGTTATTTGCTAATTTTATTAGCCATATAAGCCCAAAATACAATAATGCAGTGGCAGTGGCAGTGGCAGTTTTTCGAAATCAGCTGTTTTTTAGAAAGTGGGGTGTCCAATGAAGCAACTCACAATACAGCAGTGGCAGCTGGCAGTACTGCTCAGTTTAGCCCAAATTCTAAATTCACCGCCACTGCCTTCATCGCAGCAAACTTCGCATGCTGAATGCAGCCAACTTCTGTTCATGTCACTGAATCCTAAAAGACAACAACAAAAATGTAAACAAACAAAAGGTAATGTCAAAAAAAGTTGTCACTGACAACGCCGTATTGTAATTGCTGCGGCAGTAACTGCCAATATCAGCAGTAACAGCTGATTTTAAAAACTGTCACTGCCACTGCGCTCTTGTATTTTGGCCTATAAGGTAAATACGCATAAAATCATTGTTTAGAACTTATTTGCTGATTCCGGGCACGAAATGTGGTTTTTTGCGTTCCTCACGCTCTGGGACTTTTGGCACGTGTTGACACATTTTTGACACTTGTGAGAGAGTAACTTATTTTTACGCTCTAAGGCCCTGTGCCAATTGATAGAAAATAGAAAATTTTGACGGTTTAAAGTAAAAATTTTACACTTCTCGTGGTGAATACGAACGTCAAAATTTTACTGGCAAAAATTTTCCCAGTACGAATTTGCAACTTCCCCTCCAAATGAAATGTCAAAATTGTGCTCTCTCCTTGCAAGTTTTACTGGGTTTTTAGCTAAACGAACACGATTTGGTAACAATTGGTACCAACTTGTACAAATTTTTTGCATAGCGAACACTCCTAATGTTTCGCAACTCGGCATATAAAAACAGTTTAAATACCGCAGTAGAACAGTATCCAAACATTGTATTGGTACGTTTTGGAAGTCAGTCTGTATTGCATCTTAAAATGCATATTTCAATTCATTTGTAATGCCAAAATAACATAAACTTATACATTCGCGTAAATTATAAATAGCAAAACCCCATCTAGAAGTCATGCTTTTTTCAGCGCTCCTTGATTAGGTCGAGGTCACGCAATGAGCGGTGAGCGGCTGAGCGGCGCCATACAAAAATGCCGTGGCCACTTCAATAGCATTTCATATGTTTAATTTTAAGCCGCTCAGCCGCTCGCCGCCTTGCCTTCTCGAATAGCTTCTCTTTAGAAGGACTCTCTAAATTATCTTCTGGGTTATACCAGGAACTTGCAACCCTTACTGAATCGAATTTAATAGTGTACTAATTTCCGTTTTCACCAATTACTTACAGCACAAGACCAACGATGAATGGTTCCGGCGGATATTCATCACTAGACTTCTTTTTCCGGATATCATTAAGCAAAAAGAAACCAGATAGAATCTGTAAGGTAGTTACCGCTCCAGCGAGTTTAGCAATATGCTCGCTATATGGCGCCAATAAATCTCCAAGTGCTTCCATATTTCTGTTGTTGAAGTCTCAGTTTCAAAAATTTCCTCGGATGCGGTGTGAATATCCTTGACAATGAAATGTTTTTACTTTGATTGCACCTTGATATGCTTCTGCATTCAATTATCTTCGTTCTGCTTTACCTAATTTTCTTACGACTTCCACAACAGCTCTCTTTATCCAAAACCAACGGGTATTTTGTATGTATGTATTTACTATCCAAACATCAAGTTCAAGAGCACTTCCGCCGCCGGCACACACTGCCCCGTTATCTAATATATTTGACTGACAATTCAATTTACACATACACTACGACAGCAAGCTTGTGCATTTGTTTTGTTTGTTTTTTATTGGCCAGTCCCTTGTTGCAGTTCGATTTCTGAGATAGTTTTGCAATTTCGTTTTGGTTTTTATTTCAATTGCCACTGTCCTTAATTTGATTACACCTTCAATT